TGCAAGAGAAAATTAAAGAGCTGCTGAATAGAGAAGGTACAATCTTCTATGAGAGTGTACAGCCGATGGAACAATGAGCTGTACAAGGTATGGTCATAGTCGACATTGACATATTTCAGTGAAACAAGAGACAACGGCTACGCTAGCTAGGTCATGTGATCCCGATTAGATAAGAATACTCCAGCTTTGAAAGACCAGGTATAGAAGGACCTGGCTGATATTTCCAAATTGGCACAAACAGAGAAAATAGGAAACGAAATGCGCAATGTCGTTAACTCGGCTATACGCGAAAGCGGTGTCTACGCGAGTAAAGTAAGATTTAATTTTTATTAATCTCTTCCGTCATTTTTTTTATAGACTGAGTTAGTACTGCGCTTAAATGCGCTCATGCTTATGAGCATATATGTATTTAAATATATATATAAAAGTGTAGATATATGTATATTATGCAGGACATTAAATCGAAGTGTAAAACAGTGTGAACATTGAAATGTCTACGTATTTCTGTTTTTACTCGTAGTCACTACAGTTTAAGATAGATATTCATAAGAGTTCTAGTGCAAATTTATGGGATTTTTAATGTTGCACATGCGCTCATTTTAATGTGTAAACTATTTATGATATGTAAATTAATAAATATGAATTTAAATTAAACGATATATATTAGGTATTAGAATGTTGAAATTAATACAGTACCAGCAAAGAGAATAACCTTCATAATAAATTACTTATGAATATATTCAGCTGATACATTTAAACATACAAGCCTTTTTGGTATGCATAACGGGATAGGAATTTTATTAAAAACTTAATGCGGCGCCTTTCGAAGCGCCGTAAATATTTTACACAATATATATATATATATATATAATTTTTTTTTGTTTATTCAAGGTTATCATGCTTGATTATCTCATGAAAATCACTCAAAAATCAAAACTGTTTTTAATACAAATAAAACAAGAGTATTTTATGCGAAAGTTATGATACATTTTCGAACACTTCCGCTCAGTTAACCGCAATTAATTTTATGTGTAAGTACATATTTTGATTAAATATTTTTTATGTAGGCCATAAAGGCCAACAAATCATTATTAATAATTGCAAAAAGTGTACAATAATTGTCAATTGCTTGTTAACAAATGTGCGAATATTAACAACTCAAAACGAAAGTCATGCCAAAAATGTTAAAAAAATTTGTGGTTATTTAGCACTAATCCAGTTGCTCCAGTTGGGCAATAAAATTGAATCGTAACCACAAATTTGTCGCCAATCAACACATAAAAAATACATAAAATTACAGTTAGAAAATATAGATTAGCAAGCCACACCTGACCTATCATACTTATTTACAAATACAAATACATATTACATATCATATCATTATGTATACTGTTGTACTGTTGTACATATCACTTAGTTTGCGCTTTATTACCGCTGAAGTGAATTTGAGATGTGCGTCGTGATGGAGTGCACGTTTAGTTTACTCTATACGCTTATGAATAGCTTAGGGATTAGTATTTATAAGAAGATCTTTATTTCATGTAAGAAGCGCTTTTGCCCTGGTATCCTCTGCCAAGTAGTGAATTCAATAGGAAAATTACTTTTTTACAACTTTCGATGTTAAGATGGATTTTTTATTATAGCTGGTTTTTACGTCGTAAGTCCAAAATCCAGAGCTCAACACCACTATTGCAATTTAGCTGACATTTATATAGCGAAATGCTTGCTTCACGACCGACACCCGCTAGCAGCCGCAACTCTGTTTAGCACACGCTACAATAAGACTTCAGAAAACGCTTAAGCCGAATATATCGGAGTAAGTCCACTGGAGCGTACTCTCTTTTAGCCATGACCCAAAGCTTCACACGTGCTGATTACCGAATCTCGCAAAGATTGCTCACGTTTCCAATGCACACGATCAAATGCACCCTATTATTCCCGTACCGTGAGTTTTGCTTCATCCACATTGCATAAGGAAGTGAACTGTATGGATTCGCGACTCGGTTCTCTCGTTAATGTTGACAGTAATAACTTTGAAGACCCTGTTAACTCGCCTACAATCGTGTAAGCGATGTCTACGAGGTGTGCTCAAAAAGTATCGCGAATTTTGAATTTTCGCGGGTTTCGTATAATCGAATTTCGATTTTTTTGTGGCGTTATGTTGTCTGTCACTTATGCCGACAAGCTCGGTCATTTCGAATGTTCACTTAATTGTTGACAGCTGCTTTGCTGGCACGTGTTTTGGATGGTCATCGATTTTTACCTATTCAAATCGAAGAACCTGTATCAAATTTTGTCCGAATGTTGACTGTGGCATACGGAGAAGCTACCTTGGACCGAGGCAACGTTTATCGGTGGTACAAAATGTTCTCAGAAGGCCGAGAAGATGTGAACGACGAAGAGCTTGACGGACGCTCGAGCACTTCAACAACAGACGAAAAAATTAATGAAGTGGAGAAAATGGTATTGCCACAGGGTAGAACGGTCAATAAGGAATATTACCTGCAAGTTATGCGCAATTTGCGCTAAGCAATCCGCCAGAAACGCCCAGATTTGTGGAAAAAAAAAATTGGCTTTTGCACCACGATAACGCCCCTGCTCACACATCGTTCCTTGTGCCCGACTTTTTAGCCAAAAACATCACACTAGTGATGCCGCAGCCACCGTATTCCCCAGATCTGGCCCCCCTTGAGTTTTCCTTGTTCTCTAAACTGAAGAGGCCCAGGAAAGGACGACCTTACGCTACGATTGACGAGATAAAGACGGCATCGAAAGAGGAGCTGAACAAGATAAGAAAAAATGATTTTTTGAAGTGTTTCGAAGATTGAAAAAACCGTTGGCTCAAGTGTATAATATCTCATGGGGATTATTTCGAAGGGGACAAAATAGATATTCATGAATAAATAAATAATTTTTGAAAAAACACAAAATTCGCGATATTTTTTGAACATACCTCGCATGCCAGTAGAGAAGAAGAAGAAGCCTGGTTAGGAGTTAGGTTAGGTTAGGGCTCGAACCGATTATCCTCCGCTTGGTAGCACACACTGCTCAACAACTCGGCTATTGCGGCCGCTGGTGTATGTACAATTTGCATGCCAACACTTATTGTATGATGTCTTGTAACAAAAAATAGTTCATAATTCTATAGCTGATACACTTCCATGAATAAACTTGCATATTAATGCGTTAGTTAAATGAAGTTAAGCCGAGAATTTATCATTTTTTTCTAGAATGAGAAACAAGTCTCCATGTTTGGCATTGCACCTGATTTCATATTCATCGACATCTACATTGCTATAACGCACACTTGCTTGCATACATATGTACCAAATGGAGTAGATGCATAGTCGTATACGTAACATTTTCTGCACTGTCTGTATGAAAAGTTATTCTACGGCACAATTAACACTAACAAAAACCCGTAGGAAACACAATAACAATTTATGAATGTGTTATGTGATAATAAGTGTATTAGCACCGCATATATAATATAACTAAGAAGAATGCAATCATATCCTGTTGAGAATTTCTGTGCAGGTTTTTATTTGAAAAAAAATATATAAATTGTGTGCTTTATGATCGATTAAGGTATTTTTAAATGGACTTCCCACTCCGATTTAAGCGTGCTTTTTGAATTTTTCTTATAGTTGAAAGTATATACGGTTTGAAGCCCTCACTCTGAATTGTACAGGAATATTTCTTCGTTTTCGTAGTAGTGGGAAAAATATAAGCCCACACTGCTACATCAGCCGGTGACATACTGCATATATAAAAAAGTTAGTTGCAGAAAAATAAATAAAAGAGACAAAATTCTAAGAAATTAGTCGGATCTTAATGGTTGAAAACTCTTGTGCTGCTCATGAGCATGAAGGATTTTTGTTTTATTCTTTATTTTTATTTATCTCAGGTTATTTATTAGTGCAATTAGACTCGTATCTGTTATTCTTTTGACCTTGTTGAAAAGCAATAGTTAGATTTGTATATGTATGCTCTCAGTGTCAAATGCCGTCGCATAGTTATAGCAAGTTGCTAATGAGCCCTCTTAGAGAGCGGTAGTGGTAGTCGAGCAGAGAGCTTTTTGACCGTCTCTCATAACATGATCGATCTGGGTGCGAATTTATCGACTCAGAGACAGTATTATTTTCTTGTGCTGGAACATCGGAAGTTTCGACTGGAAGGTTGAATTTTCCTGATCTTATGCCGAAGCTTAAGATAAGGTCAACTTGTAAGATTTTGTTACTTAATTTGGCCACATCTCACAAGAGCCTACTTGTTTCCGTCCTTGTCTCGCCCATGGCAATTCTATGACGGCGGTGATCTCAGCTGATCCGCGATACGCTCCCAATCAAGAACAGTAAATTAAAGTTGTCTACTCTTAAATTGTGGTCCTTTAAACCTTTGCAGCGGTCGTCATCATAATTGGAGTCCCTCATCCGAAGCATTGTTGCATTTTAATTCCAGCAGTTTTCTAAGTGATGGATAGCAAGAGCCTCATGCCGAAGAACGACGCCTGCATGCAGCGGCACCTCTAGTGAATTGATGCTACTAAAAGACTTTAGTGAATCCTATTTAGGAAGAGCTCATCTGAAGCTTTCTATTTTTGAGCCATGACCAAAGGTCACACCAGCTTGTGTTAAGCTCAATGGCTGCTAACATTTCCACATAAGATGACGCACAAGTCAAACACGCCTGAAGAGAACTGTCTTACTACACTTGCAGAGAGCAACACTGAGTCTGCCGTCCATTCCTATCTAATGGGCTGCTAAATTTTAGTTTAATTTTTAAGATTTGAAAACTTATTGTGAGGCTTCTGATATTGAAGCAGATTCAGTAAATAACTACAAATGTTTTAAGGAAGAAAATAAATATTTAGAGTTTTATCTAAATGAATGTTCTTCAAGCCATAGCAATTATAATTATAGCATAATACTCTTAGTCAAACAAGTAATTTGAAAACTTGATTGATAAAATCATACTAATCATACATCTTTTCTTTTCAGTTTCATAAATATGGGCTCCATACCGAAATTGTCAATTGTAAAAGGCCAACAGCAGGACATAACGCCACGTCCTTTGCATCGCATTTTCGAGGCCAACCTCCTACATCATTCACACAAAAGTGCGTTGATCACACACAAAAATGCCGGCGGCACAATTACCTCCGAAGCCACACAATGCACCTATAAACAACTAAATCAATTAGCCAACCAATGTGCGCGCCTACTGGTGAGCGACATAAAACGTAACTGCTTGGAGCCGAACACAGATGGAGATTACATTGTGGCGGTTTGCATGGAACCATCAGATGCACTCGTCAATACGCTGCTCTCCATTTGGAAAGCCGGTGCCGCTTATCTGCCAATAGATCCCACTTTTCCGCTCAATCGCATACAACACATACTCCAGGAAGCGCGTCCCGTTATGGTGCTATGTGATGACAATATTGAGCGTGAACGTTTCAACGATACACCGACCATCAGCAGCTCGGAACTCTTTCATCGTTCTGCCGATTTGAGTAATGCTAATTTATTACCAGCTGAAATGCTTGCTGACGGCGCAAATAATTTGGCCATTGTTCTGTACACCTCCGGTAGCACTGGTGTGCCGAAGGGTGTGCGTTTACCGCATGAGGTCATCCTAAATCGTTTGCAATGGCAATGGCATACATTCCCTTATGCGTCCACAGAGCAGGTGAGCGTTTTTAAAACTGCGCTAACATTTGTCGACTCCGTCTCCGAGCTGTGGGGCCCACTTATGTGTGGTCTTTCGATTTTGGTTGTACCAAAAGTGATAACTAAAGATCCCGAACGTTTGGTGGATCTATTGGAAAAATATAAAATACGTCGTTTGGTTTTGGTGCCAACACTTTTGCGTTCGATTTTAATGTATTTAAAGTTGAATGATGACAATACCAAGCGTCAGCTGTTACAACGCGATCGCCTGTTGTATAATATGAAGATTTGGGTTTGTTCCGGTGAACCGTTGCCAGTAGCTTTGGCTACGAGCTTCTACGACTACTTTGCTGAGGGCGTACATACATTATTTAACTTTTACGGATCCACCGAAGTGATGGGCGATGTCACTTATTTTGCTTGTGAAAGTAAGAAGCAGTTGAGCTTCTTCGATCATGTACCAATTGGTAAGTAAATATTTTGTTAGATTTCTTTTTTAAGTTCAAGCTGCAGTCTATGGTTTCGCGGTCTGAAGAAGAGTTATGTGAGGTAAAACATGAGTCAGGATAGGTAGAGCGTAATCTGCGCCATTAGTGTTTCTTGAGCTCTTCGTTTGCATTACTTGGTGGTTGGATTCTCATAACGTCATTGGGTGAGGACATATTGGATGAGTGCATAAGTTCGTGCCCGATTTCAAAGGCAAACTAAAAATTAAATTTTTTGAAGAAAGTGCTTTTATTAATCAATTATTATGTATTTGCCATCATATTCGGCAATCCACTCCCAACGTTCAACCAATTGACGGATGCCTGATTCATAGAAAAAGGTGTCAAGGTAGTTTATGACGTCTTCCACATTTTTAAATTTTTTTCCATTCAAATTGTTCTGCAGCGATCGAAACAAATGATAATCAGAAGGTGCAATGTCGGGTGAATATCGGGGATGCGGCATGATTTCCCAATTCATCTCCTTCAGTTTGGCCAGGGTCGGTTTTGCAACATGTGGCCTGGCGTTGTCATGATGGAAAAGAACTCCTTTGCGATTGGCCAAAATCGGACGTTTTTCATCAATTGCTTTCTTCAATTCGACCAATTGCTGACAATACTTGTTGGCAGTGATCGTTTCTCCAGCTGGCAAGAGCTCAAAATAGATCACGCCTCGGATATCCCACCAAATGCACAGCAGTACCTTCATCGGATGCAATCCACCTTTCGACATCGGTTCCGCCCCTTCGTGTGCCTGTTTCCATGTTCTTTTGCGTTGAACATTGTTGTACAGGATCCATTTTTCATCACCAGTCACGAGCCGATCCAAAAAAGGTTCGTTTTTGATCCGTCGAAGCAAAGAAATTGCTGTTGACATACGGTCCACTTTGTTTTTTTCACTCAACTGATGTGGCACCCATGTATCGAGCTTCAAAGTGTACCCAACCTTTTTTAAACGACGAAACGCAGTTGATTTGTTGACGTTCAATTCACTGGCAACCTCTTCCGTCGAAATACGTGAGTTATTCGCAACTAAAGTCCTTAGAACATCGTCATCAAGCTCAGAAGGCCGTCCACTGCGAGGTTGATCTTCGAGGTTAAAATCTCCAGAACGAAATTTCGCGAACCATTTCTTTACTGTGCGGAGTGCTGGAGCACGGTCCAAATAAACTTCGCGAATATCTTTAGTTGCAGCGCCTACTGTTTTTCCTTTGCGGAATTCGTATAACATAATATGACGCATATGATCTTTTTCGTTGTCCATCTTCCATGCGTCTTTTCACTAAGCAACTCAAATCAAAATGAAGTTATTTTATGCATGATTTACTGTTGGGACTGTCACCTTTCCAACGATGTATAATATGTATATATCTCTTTCACGAGCGCCACTCTCAAACGATTCGAACGGCATCCAGCGGAATCGGGCACGAACTTATGCACTCATCCAATTGAAAGCTCTGTCTACGTTCGTATAAGCAACAAGAGCTGGTGGTGCTACTAAGAAAAAATAAGACAATGTTATCAAAACTATATGGAGACGTGGTATTTAGACGTCCTTCCCGATGTACTTGCGAAACTGTTGGGCTTTGAGCAAGTGTCTAATCCTAACCAGAGTAATGGTTTCGAATTGAATGGTGAAGACTCGATAATTCACTAGTTACGTATGCGGAATCTTATGAGAAGCGACTGTAGTAAGGGCCTTTGAATTCTCATTGAGCGAGGTACTTTAGTGAATAGCTTGTGGATCTAATAATCTCAAAATAAAAAAACCCTAGCTAGGCCTTGAGACTTTTGATGCAAAGAATTATTTTTTCAGTAATTTTCAATTTCGTTTAGCCTAGGCTGGCGTGATTTGTGGACTCAGTTCCTCAGTTCCATCATTTCTTTTTCATATAATTTGAGTAGTTGATTTCTAATTAAATATTATATAGACTTTTAAATATGTAACATTTCCACTCCTCCAGGCATACCACTTTCCAACACTGTCATCTATTTACTCGACAGCGACTTCCGACCAGTCAAACAAGGAGAAATCGGTGAAATCTTCGTTTCAGGACTCAATTTAGCTGAAGGTTATGTAAACGGCAGAGATCCAGAAAAATTTGTAGAAAATCCATTAGCCGTGGAGTTTAGTAAGTTCAAACAAATAATTTTCTGATAAAATGTACAATGTAAATTGTAATCCCCACTTTCATCACCAAAGAATACTCCCGACTCTATCGCACTGGCGATTATGGATCTCTACGTGATGGCAATGTTATGTACGAAGGACGCACTGATTCGCAGATTAAAATACGTGGTCACCGCGTTGATCTTGCGGAAGTTGAGAAGAATGTTTCGGAATTGCCGTTTGTCGATAAGGCAATGGTATTATGTTATCATGCAGGAAAAATTGATCAAACGATTTTGGCATTTGTCAAACTACGCTACGATTCGCCACTAATAAGCGAGTTGCAAATCGAAGCGAAATTAAGAAGCAAACTTGCTGAGTATATGACACCACAGGTTGTTTTAATCGATAAAGTGCCTTACCTTGTCAATGGGAAAGTGGATCGGCAGGCACTACTCAAAATGTATGAAACAGCAAATAACAACGAGGGTGACTCGAGTATTGTACTCGACTACGATTACTCACTGGTGCCGGCAGAGATTAAGCACATAGCTGTGGATCTCTTTGAGACCGTGGGCGGTGTGATTGGACGTTCTACACGCACTACTTTGACGCTACGCAGCAACTTTTACGAATTGGGTGGCAATTCGTTGAATTCGATTTATACCGTGACTTTGTTGCGTGAAAAAGGCTATAATGTGGGAATATCTGAATTTATTGCGGCAAAGGATTTAGGTGAAATATTGGAGAAAATGGTGAATAACCGTAATGCGACGACAATGGTCGAAGACTGGAGAGGTGCTGCACCACACCTAGATATGACCGCTGAACCGCTCAGTGATGTACACAGGCGAGAAGTGATTGAGTAAGTTTGACGATCAAAATGTGTGTAAAAAAAAAATTAAAAACAAAACTCTAATTCTTCTTTAAAGTATCATAGTTGACAGCTTCTATGGCAAAGCGGATCTTGAACAGTGGTTGAAGCCCGATATATATCCAAATGATTACAGTGATTTGATAAGTGTAAGTTTCTAATATCACTGAATTTGCTTACTCTGCCTGCACAGATGAGTGCACTTACATATAGTATGTACATATTTAATTATTATCTTCATTCTCCTCGTTCTATAGGACATTTGGAACGCCTTGGTTGAGAAGAATCTCAGCCTGATTGTACGAGATAAGCGCTCAAATCGTATAATTGGTACAGCTTTGAATTTCGATGCTCGCGCTGAGCCAGAAGTTGAGGTTAAGTCGAAATTAATTATCGTTTTCGAATTTTTGGAATTTATTGAAGGACCTATAAGGTGAGTTTCTTACAATAAATTATTAATAATTGATATTTATGTGTGTAAGTATGTTCACTGCGCTATGTTATTATTCTGCGGCTTTGGGTTGCAATCTATACTTATACGGTCAAGCATAGATTCGATTGTCATTCACGCGACGGGCTTTCGGTAGCGAGGAATATAATACAAAAAAAAACTTATTATTGGGTGTATGCATTAAATCGTGGGGTTTTCTAAGAGAGGGCTCTACTAGTAATATTATGCGACGTGTTCATCTGTGGCTATATTCATTTCAAAGAGACTGTCATTTCCGAACGAACATGCCAAAAGTGGTTTGCACGCTTTAAAAGTGGCAATTTCGAATTAGACGACGGATAGCCAAAAAAATTTCAAGACGAAGAATTAGAGACATTGCTCGACGCAGATACATGCCAGACGCAAGAAGAACTTGCAAAAGTATTAGGAGTTGATCAAGCAACCGTTTCCAGACGATTAAAATCAATTTTTACAAAAAAGTCTTAATTTTCGGGGGAAAAAAACGCACGAATTAGTGCATACACCCATATTTGCTATTGTATGATGTTTGCCAAGGGGTTTTGGTCATTATTAGCAATATTAATGAGAGCAAAATTCTACAAAATACATAAAGCCACAAAAACCTGTATTTTAGTATATACTTGCATGCATATACATATATATATATATATGTGTTTTCTTATTTTTCAATGCTTTTACATTCGATTCTTTTTTTAATGCTTTCTTTTTCTCAATATAGGGACAACCAACTACCCAAGGGCCTCAACAAAATACTGCACTCATTTATGATGGGCACCAGTTCGGATTTGAATCCACAAGAGAATATTGCCTGCATGCATTTCATGGAAAACGAAGTGTTACGCGTTGCCAGGAGGAAAAAGTTTGCCGGCATTTTAACCACTAATACAAGTCCCTTGACACAGGTGAAATAATATACATATATATGTTTTTAATTTTCAATTAATTAATTCGCCAATTTTTCACTTATTCTTTTAGCAATTGGGCAACGATGTCTACAACTACAAAACCTTATTGGACTATCAAGTCAATCAGTATGTTTATAACGATGGCACGAGACCCTTTGGAAAGGCGCCTGATTCACAACGCGCCATCGTTCACTGGCGTGAGGTGACTGACTGAGAAGAAATAGAAAAATCTTTCGTCCGCCGTAACAAGCAAGGCTTTCAAAAGGAGATAATCATTTTTAAATACATATTTAAAATTAGTAATGTTTACTGAGACTTCCAAAGAGTGTATGTTTCATTTTTTCGGTGCTTAAGCTGTCCAAATGGTTTTAAAGCGCTGATTTCAAATTATATTTCGGTTTTATCCAACTTTTCTTTGACGTTGAAATTACAGTGAAATTATGTTATTAGACATGTAGAATTAAGTTATTTTAATTTATAAAACTTATATTTTTATTCATACTTTGTCAACGCGTTCGTTAACAGTTTTTGTTTCCATCACATACACGTACATACATACGATATGTTTATTTGAAATTCGAGTTTGAAAGTGGTAGTGTCGGGAGAAGAGATCATACTAACCATTATTTCATATACTCGTAGTATTATTTTATTTTTCCCATACACATATTATCATAATTGCTATTTTACTTAGTGGAGAATATTCCAAACAGTTGAGTTAGCGTAAATGCATGTACCTGTTGAACACATAAAAAATCATCTATTTATATCAATAAGTTTACCACATCTTGTAAAAATGCGAAAATCCAATAAAATTGCAATAAAGAAATGCATAAATATAAAGTTTCCATGATTTTTCATCAATCGATATGAAATTAAATTGATTAAATTGGTTCTATAAAATCTTTTGAGATTGTATTGGTTTATTATTCGTACGCCAGCATACGAGTACTCCTTACCTTTTACCTTCCCTTTTCAGCTCTGTAGATCGTATTATTTACTCCTGCAAGAAATTGAAAAAGCCACACCATGAGGAATCACTTTGTCTATAACCTCGTTTGGTATAGAACGCATCGAAGATCACGATCCTGACGGAGCTCTCGTTGCTGGTTAATGTCAGTTTGCACATCTGTATAGCGGAGTAGAGACAGCTCCTTGTCGTGCTCTAGCTTGCTGCTTTAAAAACGAAGAATAGGTGGTGTATGTCGATCCACTTTTCTCCGGTCTTTTAAAAGATTTGGTGTATGGCGAACATCTGGTCAATGGGAAATTTAGGTCCGAAGCCACACCTATAAGGTGCAATCCGTATGTTGACGGTGGGTTTTAGTTTTTCACACAAAACGCTGGAGAGGACCTTACATGCGATATTAAGGGGCTTATAACACGGCGAACGGCGCAGACTGTTAGGCTCCCCATTTTATGGATTCCAATCGACTTCATATGTAAATGTTCATGCAAGTGAGGAGAGGTTTTGACTGCTATTCACCTAGGAAACGATTCTTCCGCATATGGTTCAAGCAACTCACGACTTTCGGTCTGAGACCAAGTAGCGGCCCCAGCCGCTTTATTGTTTTTTAAGCTGACAATCGCTTTTCGAACTTCGACATGATCAGGTAGGGGAACGTCTGTTCTATCGTCATTGATTTGGATTTCGGATTCACCATCTCTGGGTGTTTCATTCCCACTGCCCTTCAGCAGGCTGCGGAATTATTCCCTCCATAAGTTGAGTCAAGATCACCCCTGTTGGTCCTACAAGAGTTTGCTCCGGTCTTGAAACCTTCCGTAAGTTGCCGTATCTTTTCGTAGATTTTTCGAGCATTACATTGTTTGCCAGCTTCTCAAGCTCTTTTACGTCTTTTTTCCTTCTTCAATTCTCGCTTTCAGTCGAACCCCACACGGGCAGTGGTCGATCGCAATGTGGCAAGGTAGGCATCTATTTTCTCAGCACTTTCTCCGTTTGAGTTGTTTGGTGAGTGCTCTCAGAGAGCAAGAGAAAACCGTTCGGATGTGTTGTTCTTGCAACTTGCGTTTGTAGATGGACGTAACTTGATATATAGAGCGAGCTGCGTATCCTCTCTGCGAAAAGATAGTGATCCGAGGCGGTGTTAGATATCCGGACCGTACGCAAGCCCAGAACACCTAGAACAACGCTTTTTTCGTTCCAGTGACAGCCATGTTGCTTCATGAAATTTCTTGTTTATAGAGAAATATATTTCAGAGCCGTAAAGGAGGACCTTTACGACATTGGAAATATCAGGTACTTCAGATGATGCTTTCAATTGGCGGCTAACTGCTAAACAAAGAATCGGGTGATACGCTATGGTTGACTATAATCTATGTACAAGAAAACTTAAATAAATTCTGGTCCATATTATGAGCAACATTTCTTTCTCAGCAGGAATGTCAAGCTCTTCGAGTGTATTTTTGACATGAAATAAAAGCTACTCATAAAAATCCATCGGCCGCTCGGAGGCGTGGATTAGTATAAACTGTGGGTCACTCCATTTGTTGGAAAAACATCAAGACGCAAAACCACAAATTGGAGGAGGAGCTCGCCCAAAAATTGCTTCAGCGGGTACAAAGTGTCAATATATTTATATAAAAAAAAATGACATATTTACTGGCATAAGATGATAAATAATGTAACCTGAGCCCTCATCCTGGTAAAAATCCGGGTCAACTCCAGTGCGTAGAACTGGCTGCCATGAGAGTCGAGCAGCTGAATAGACATTTTCTTGAAGTTGAAGCTCCCCCGCGGCACATCAGGAACCGCTGGGCAAGACAACATACCGACACACTTTAAACGCCTTTCACCGAGAGTTCATCAACACCTTCATCAATTCTCTTCCAGTGAAGGGCGTTTTCGGAACCCAATCACTCCATATTGCAGACGTAGAGCTCGAGCTGCCAAGAGAGGCTGAGTAATACTTGCACAATAAACAACTAGATTTTGTATTCAACTAAATTTCTACTTTCAAGTCTTGACCATGACATACCCAACGTATGTCTCGCATGCAATGAGACCGCGTACGACATTAACCACCTCTTTGCACGCGCACTAAAACCAATAATTTAACATCTCTCTTAATACAGTCGAAAGCCGTGGAAACAGCTTATTTCCGGGACCGATGGTTTAGATTAGTCTCCTAAGTCTAAAGCGGGTTGAGAGAACTGTTGCAACAACAACAACATAAAAAAATGTTTATAAACATACACGTACATATGTAGTTCATAGGAATCATGTCTAGGTGATATCAGGTGATTAACTCAGAGCTCTCTGATGTGATGTAGTGATTAGATATAATAAATTAATTTATCGCACGTTAATTCAGTCACGGGATATATGCACATGTAATTATGAGATATGCTTACTGCAAGCAGGTGGCATCAGATGATGTGACATGATATTAGTCGGGCCTGGAAAAGTCATATGACACTGTGACGCGATGTACATCGCATGGGTGATGTGACCGAATTGAATTTAATTGCACGGTTAGAGTGGAACAATTTAATTTAACTATCTATTATGTAATGCGATGATTAGCTACAACAACGGTATTGTATGCCATAAACAATTGACTGAAAACTCCCTTTTTCCTTATTTTATTAAGGCGTAAATCCACTGTAAACGACAAAAATAAACACATTTTTTCAAGAATTTTTTTTATGTGGAAAGAAAGGCAATACAATTTTAATGTTTTGATATCTTATTAGATTCATATTTGATTTACAACAAAAGAAAAACATTTGGTGCACACAGGGTGCAAAATAGAAACTGCAACAAAATAAAAAGAAATTTTGTTTATCTACATGAGAATAGCTAGCGAATGACGTACGGATTTTAAAAAATATTGATTTTTAAGATATTTGGAAACATTTGTGAAAAAGCTCAGTTTTCGACCAAAAAAAAAACGGCACCTAATTGTTTATAACTATTGTTTAAATTAGATTATCGAAAATGCCGTACTTCACTCTCTTTGAAATAATATTAAAAAGGTATAAGAAAAGAGCCAATTGAAATTATTGAAAATTGTTTAAGTTATGCTGGGAGCCAACTTCGAAAAACGTGATTCGAGAAAAATGTATTTAAAGTTTTGAGACATACAAAATATACATATTTACATATATCGTTGCAACCCGTTGCTTCCGGTAAGAGCTCGAAATTTCAATGAAATCGGTGTCGAACACGTATACGACTACATGTTCTTTATTCTAAAAGGTTCAAAAAATATTTTAGCCAGTAAAAAATCTAATTTTTAAGTCACCTACAGTGGCCTCACCCACAGACATTAAGCTGTCCTTCCCCAAGAACAAAAACACACAATTATCAGGAGCATTATTTTTATATTTTAACATTAAGCCATACGATTATCATAGTAATGTATTGTATGTCGGTATAGATTTTATTATTATTATTTGTTTTATTTATTTATATAGCTTAATTTTACTTCCAAATTCACGTATATTTATATATACATATATGTGTATGTATATAACTATAAATGTATACAGTTCAATTTGTCAACTAATACAGATTGTTTATATTGTATATTATGTGTGTAATCATAGTTACTTATTATTCGTATCTATACCCACTGCTAAAGCCTGTATAATTTTTCAATATAATGCAATATTTTACGCTAAAAAAATTTAGTAATATTTTTTATTAAATTTTATGTATTATTATTATTGTATGTATTAATAAATTTTTTGATATATTTTTAATATAATTTTTGTTTGTTTTTTTTTTTCTTTACTATAATAATTTTATTTCTTATTTGATTTATTTAAACACATACTTACGGAGCACTCTGCAACAACAATTTTATGCAATTGAAATGTGCCTCACGTTGTAAATTAGCGATAAGTGTATATACATACATAAAGACATAGTATTGTATGTAAGTGTTAGGTATGTATGGGATAGATTAACTTAAATCATATTTTTACGCAATATTTAAACATTTAAACTACGTCCTTTTGTACAGCTAAGTATATATGCATACGTATATATATTTAGATTAATTAAATAGGTAGTGTGTAAGCATTGTAACAAGTTATCGAATAATTTTGCAATAAAAGAAAGAGTAGAACAGAACAGATGTTACCTGGACCGGCTTCGCATTTTTTTTTACAAATTTTTTTTTTTTTGGAGACACGAGCGCAACAAAGAAAATAACTGACGGTTTAGCTGCGTACGAAACGAAATATAAGATGACATTGCAAACAGCCCATATATGCATATATATAATATATTGTTTTTATATATGTATATATACATTTATTCATGGTGATAAAATTAGATTCCCTTGTATTATTATTGTTTATTGTGTAAGTTCTCTTATTTTCGTTTAATTTAAATTAATAATTACAATTGAAAATGTATAATTTAAAGTGATCCGAGGGGAGTAAACTCATATCTCTTTTGTATAAATATAAAATTGGTTAGATTTGTTTTGTAATATTCACCACCAAATCATGAGTAATTAATGACAAATTACATACTTGATTCATCTCTTTAAGCGATTTAATTGCAAAATAATGCGTATTTAAATGCTGCACTGGCTAGAGTTAATACATTTCAATAGGTGTCGCAAGCTCAGCGAATTTACGCAAATTACACCCACGTTCATTTATGTTTTCACTTGTAATTTCATTTTACGATAAAAATGGTTAAATGGTTTCTGCAATTCCATTTGTCGTACACACACGTGCACGCAATATCGGCTCTGCGCATAACTGTAGTCACAATGCCAGCACAAATGCACGGTTTATGACAACAAAATGTCACATTTGTGATTAAGAGTTGTTACACTAATATATATGCAACAGCATCTGTTAATAGCTACGCACGTACTGACTTTAAATTACAACCGAATTCTGTGCTTGCATAACACCACTGGCACCGCCTGTGCCACTGTTAGTGCTGCCATCAACCCCCTGACCTTGTACACTTTGATCGAGACGCCGATAATTTTGGAATGTCTTCCACTCCCCGGTATTGTAATCCAGTCGGATGTGTGACTCCACCAAACAGAGCGCCGTGCTGCCATCATCCTGTTGTACTTTTTCCTAAAATAAATAATAAAATATTAGTATTTAAAATGGTAGCTGTTCAGGTATGTGTTTTAAGTCAAAACAACTGCAGGTAAGCAGAGATTGCATACAATTTTTAATTCTGCACTATTATCATTGCTAGACTGATCTGAAAGTGACTATAACATATGGCTTTCAATTCGACGTTCGATGAGAATTTTCCCCCCGTCTAAACAAATGCTTCATCAAATATGAGCTCATGATAACCGAAGTTAATATTTCTTGATTTGTTAAAATAATTTTTCTTCTCACCTCAGTTTCGCCTAATTTGATCACAATTACATTCTCCGAGTTGGGTCGCGGATTTTCACGCATGCCAGCCATGAAACCCAATATGAGCGCTTTGTCCGGACGAGAAACGCGGTTGGCTTTACGGAACATTTCGTGCGCTTTATGAACATGTTCATTCTATAAATTAGTCAAGAAAGAGAGTTAAGTATCAATTCTCACATGGATTCGTAAATTTTTACTTACTGATAGTGAAAGTCCTTTGCGCTGTGGCGCCTGTTGTGTCTGAGGTTGTTGCTGTTGTTGTTGTTGGGCCTGTTGTGTCACCTGTACGATGTGTGTGGTACGTGGCAGGCTGCCTGTTGATGTGCCCTGCTGTATTTGTATTTGCTGGGGTTGACCTGATGCCGTTTGTGTTGTAATAATTCTCTGTTGCGGCTGTGTCTTGTGTTGCAACACGATCTGTTGTGGTCGCATTTGTTGCTGTTGTTGTTGAGCTGGTTGTGTTATTATCGTGCGTTGTATTTGTGTTTGTTGTTGTTGTTGTTGACCTATACCACCCGAACTGTTGGCGGTCTGTACTTGCACTAGCTGGGGCTGTTGACCCGGGCGTTGTATAAGTGTTAGACCTTGTGGGAGCGTGGTCAAGCTATTACCTTGCACATTAGAGATAACTGGTCGGATGATGGTTTGTTGGTTAGGCTGAAAGTAAAATAAAAATGAATGAGTTACTTCAATGCATATTTGTATGGAAAAATAAGCCCTCTTACCGTATTAATGAGGTTCGTTTGTGTGGGTTGCTGTACGATCATGTGCTGCGACGATAGCGTATTTGTTGGAATAAGCGTTGGTATATGTTGTTGCTGTTTCGCTTGCGTGCCAGTTTGTTGCTGCAAATGTATTGTTTGTCCCTGCTGTAAGCCTTGACCAGTTGTCTTTACTAAACTTGGCGGACCAGCCGCTGTCGTCATTAATGTCGTACCAGCGCCCGTGTTAAGACCCTGTAGACCACTCATGTTACTAATCGGTATCTGCTGATACATATCACCCCCGATATTGCGCAATATAACACCCTTCTGTGTCAATATAATCGTCTTATTCTTCATATTAGCATTTGTATTTGCTACATTGACTCCACCAACATTGCCAACAGCACCCGCAACACCTGCGGGGCTTGACGATTGCACCAGCACCTGTGTAAGTTTCGGCTGCTGTGTGGCACTCGTATTTGATACAATTGTATGTTGCTGTGGTTGTTGCTGTTGTAATTGAGCCTGCAGATGTTGCTGCTGTGCTGCTTGCGAGGCTGGTTGTATGGTGACAGGGCGATTGGGCAGCTGTACATTTTGTATGTTTAATAAAGTAGGTTGCTGTTGTTGTTGCTGCTGTTGAGTTGAGGTTGCTATAAGCGGTGGAGGATTACCGCTGATAGCATTCGTACTCTGCTGTTGACGCACTGGTGTCATCATAACGCCTGACGGTGATGTTTTCAACAGAATCTTTGTTGGCGTTTGAGTGTTGGCCGATGCTGAAGACTGATAGAGCGTAGTGGTGGTCTGCTGAGGACGTGCGAACGTGGCGAGTGTCGGCATGGTGGATGTTTGAAGTTGTTGTGTTTGTTGTTGTTGCTTTTGAGGTGTTGTCGTCGTCAAAATATACTGGGCAGTACTGGTTGATGTACTAACCGAGTGTTGCATTGTTGGTTGCTGTTGTTGTTGCTGTTGTTGAATATGGGTCTGTTGTTGTTGTTGTTGCTGATGTTGGTGTTGGGATTGAAGTCCTGCTGCCGAATTAGCTGTACGCTTAGCTGGTTGTATGATTGTCTGAGATATGATGACCGGACCACTATTGGCCGCGGTCTTCAACTGACTCAATGGCATCGACTTAATTGACTGTGCCGTTGTTGTAGTTGACGTACCAGACGAGACAAGCTGTTTCTGTAGATAGTTACGTATTACAATATTACAATAATCTCTACTTTATACTTATATTTGTAAGTCGATAAAAAGCATGAAAGGGAAAACACTTACCGCTCTTGAGACGGGCGCAGCCGTTGAGGAAATTATCACGGGTGTTGAACTGTTAATTAATATTGGTTGCTGTTGCTGTTGCTGCTGCTGCGAGTTCTGCTGAGGTATTGACTGAACTTTCGAAGATTTGGTTGATGTTATTTTCACCGAAATATTATTTGGTAAATTCGCCAATGGATTATTCGTCTGACGCAACTGTTGTTGGGTGTAAAGATTAGTGGACATCGTATTCGCTACAGGACTCTTCGTCGGTGTCATTGGTTTTATATCCAACTTTTCCATTTTTATCATTGTATTCGAGCTAGTAGGCGATGTGTTGGTTGTGTTAATCTTTTGTCTGGTGACAGTTGTATTGCCAGCACTCAGTGTCAAGCCGCTAATTGTTTGCTTTTGCTGCTGTGGGGCCGCACGTATGAGTACATGTTGTGTTGTTTGTTTTTGCATGGTCTGTTGTGATTGTTGTATTTGTTGTTGTTGCTGTTGTTGTTGTGGAGGCTTCTGTTGCTGTATAATAATACGCTGCTGTAAGCGTGCAGGTGTCTGGGGTAATTGCTGCGTCAACAACGTAGGCTGGGTTTGTGGTTCAATTTTTTCCACTTTAATATTTGGTGGCATTAAAATTTCTTCACTCTTTATTTCGATCTCTTGTTTGATACGTTTGTGGCTGTGATTCAGGCTGGGACTGCTATTGTTATTAACTTGCGTCTGTGCTGGTGCTCGAATTTGCATTTGCGTTTGTGTTTGTGTTTGTGTGGACATGCTATTAACTTTTGTTGGAGTTGAAATTGTGGCGGAAGGCGCTGATGTTAGTATGGAGTTGGTCACACTTGTAGATGTTGTTTCTATTGGCTTAATTTGGGGTTTATTGTCCAATGATTTCGGAGAAGATGGTTGTTGCATGTAAGTGAGAGATTGTGCATATTCTGGTGTCGAGGGTTCTATTTTTGTAGACAACACATGGTCTTTATTATCTATGAGCATATCTTCGCTGGTACCCCCTGAATTTACGCTTAATATTGCTTCCGTCTTTATTTCAAATGTATTTGCTGTAGTGGTGGGTGTAGTGGGGGCAGCACTGGCTCCCGCCACGTTGTTTGCGGCACTTGTTTGTGTTGGCGATGTAGCTATTGGTGATGCGTTCTCTGCTGCTGCTGCAGCTATTTGTTTTTGCTCTTGTTTCTTTTGTTGTTCTTCTAATTGTTGTTCTCGTTTGCGTTTTTTGGCCGCCGCGTAACCCAAAGGCTGTTCGGTAAATTCGATTAATTTGATACCACCATCCTTACGTCCCGCTGGTGTTCGACTAAGATTTGGACGTTGCGGTGTGCCAGTAATATTGGGCGATCGAAATCCTAAGGAAGGCACACGGGACGGTATTCCTTTTAGTGGCGTTGTATCAGTCATCTTACGTGGCATACCACGGGAACGTAGCGGTATTGTTGGTGCAGAAGACTTTTTCAAAGATGATTGTGCGTCAGCGGACTTATGTAGAAGTTCTGTACGCAAATTGGCACTCTTAGGTTTACGTTTTATAGTGAAATGCTTAACAGGATTTGGTTGCTGACCGACCTTTGGAAAGAAGAGATTCATTTAAATTAGGTAAGTTCCATTTTCCGTAAAACTTATACTTACCACAGAAACCAAGGCATTCTTGTTTAAATATAAACATTCTAATGGTAGCATGCCCAAATCGCAATGCTTACTAACCAATTTACGTAAGTCATTGACCATGTCAGTGAAGATTGGTCGCGTATCTTCATATTCCGATATTTCTGTATTTAGTGAGCTAGTCGCAGGAAAAGTTTTCATTGTTTCTGCCAACATTGATACCCATAATTCAGAATCTAAGCCGGCAACTTCAATCACTTCCTCCAATTCTGCTTTCCACTATAGAACAAATGATAATAGTTAATTTACTATCAAAACCTACAACACAGTTCTTATTCAAAAAACATAAATACCGATAAGAAAAAGAGTCACATCATAGTCGTCCCAATAATACAAATACTTATATTAATGTAAATACACAGACATTCACTTTCACAGCGAATTGTGTAGTAGTATCTAATTGCAAATACACTTGCTAAAAACGAGGACAAGTGGCGGGAAAAAATATCAACTAAAATCGGAAAGTAAAAACATACAAAAATTATGGGATAAATATATACCATCATTTTGATGTTTTGTTTCAATTGTTTCAATACAACTTAAAAGTTTGCTGTTAACAAAACAAACAAAAAAAAATTAAGAAATGAATAATGAATAATGAAGACAAGTTCTTGCGGGCATGGAGCGATGTCATCAACGCATGCACGTATACAAACGTAAAAATGCTAAACAATCAAGCATTCGTAAGCTATTGTCCGCGCATACGTTCCTTAGCACTTATATGTGTGCGCATACATTTATATGTGATCTTAAGTTTTCATAATTTACACCGTCCACAGTCCCTTCCAACTAACACTATAATTGATTAGTTGGCAGCCGTGGCTCACCAAACAAATTCCAGCATTTACACACCTCTTCTACTAATCTTCGTGGTATATGAAAAAAACTCAACAATAATTTCAGTTTCACTTGAGTCTGTAAATCCGGAAAACACTCCTTTATGTTGCGCAGCACTTCCTTGTTCAGTTGCGAGCATATCGACCCACTTATCCACGAATCGTTCGAAGTGCCGAGTTTGTTATGCAGCCACAATGAAGTGTCGCTGTCCCGCACATTTGCCATATTTTCACGTTTTGTGTTATTTTTAATTCAACACAAATTCACTACACGTAATTGCTGTACCACAAAATATGAGATTGCTCTGCAAACCTCCTCACCAACAATTTTTTACAATAAATCGCCTTTACTTTTCTCAATCAAGAATTTGACACGAAATCCCGAAACGAAAATATAAATGGCGGCGTCGAACACGGTTGCATTAATGCGTGACAGCAGACGTATCAGTGTTGTCTTCACTCGAAACTGTCAGAGTGGCGTTTCTATCTGGCTGAGGTGCTTTTAAAAGAAGTAGTTAAATAAATTTACAAAATATATATATTAAATAAATTCGTTAACAGGTTCTCTAATTATACAATAAAATAGATTAAATTGGTAGATTTTAATAAGAAAATGTTGGTTTTTTTTATCTTTTGGATAAAGAAATGCTTGCTACCAAAACATATGCCAGACATTTCTTTCAGTTGAGTACTATTTTAACATACTCTGTGTATTTTACTTTTAAGACAGCTTTTCAAAATTATGGAATTCATTTTGCTCACATCAGTTACCATCCACTTTGTTGTGGCAATATTCGTAAATAAATTTGAAGAAATTATGGAACCAATAAAATTAGTAGCGCATAACACACCAAAACTATGGAATATTTTGCCGAAGGTAGTAAAACAAAAACAAAAAGCATATCCACTTCAGCCAAAATTCTGATAGCTGCAACCGGTGGAGTTGGTATTGGGCTGAGTGTTATCTGTGCGTCTTTTGTAGCACCTGCGTTTCGAAGAATATGTCTACCATATGTACCTGCGACAACAGAGCAGGTTAGGAATGTGCTCAATTTCTTACCTAAAAATTCGCAAGGCAAACTATTGGACATAGGATCCGGTGATGGGCGCATTGTTGTTGGTACATATCTGAACAAAATGTCATAGTTAATAGTTTGGTTAATGAAAATTATATTCGTATTTCTTAAACAGCGGCAGCGAAGCATGGTTTCAATGCAGATGGCGTAGAACTAAATCCTTGGTTAGTATGGTATTCACGTATATCAGCTTTAAGGCATGGTGTCCATAGGCAAACTCACTTCTATAGACGAGATTTATGGAAATATAGCATAACTCCATACGAATATGTTGTTATATTCGGTGTAGAACAAATGGTATGTATGGCTTTACAGTCAAATACAACTACAATTCGTTTTACATAATCTTTTTTTTTTTTTTAATAAAGATGCAAGATTTGGAAAAGAAGTTAATTGCCGAGGCACCTGGAAATGCAAAAATTATTGCTTGTCGCTTTCCGTTACCGAATTTACAACCGAAAAGTTTGATAGAGGACGGAGTTAACACAGTTTGGTTTTATGACTTAAATAAGGCAAAATCGCCTGACCGAACCACTTCAGCATAATTACCAGTGAAGAAATAAATAAAACATGGGTGTAGGTATTTATTCATAGATTTTTATTTTTGCACTGGAGTTACGCTAATTATAATAAAAGCATTAAAATTTGTAAAGAGGAGTGGACATAGCAAGTTATTCAAAGTACTTACATACATAAAAAGTGCATGACACATTTACTATACATATTTTATATGATTAAAATGGTTATTGAGATGTCAGTCATAGAGCAATACCTTTGCTTTATTAATACCATGAAATGAGTATGAATTAATCGGCATATTTAATTTATGGTCGTTAGTCAGCCACTTCATCGTTTTTTTTTTTCTTTTTCATAATGTGCCTTTTACGGTCGGTAGGATTACGAAATAATGAGTTACATAAATAAAATCCAATCCTTTTTTGCTTGTTAGCATATTTGATATTCGACGGTCATTGACGTAACTTTAGCAGAAAGACTGATGTTGATTGATGCGGTGGCTGTTGCTAAAAACGCCGCCCGAGATAGAGATATTTACCCTCAGTATCACGATATACTTCCGTAAATCCTATCTTAGCATAGTGGTGGTGCAAATGTTCCGCCCCCTTAACCGTTAAACGTACATGCACACCGAAACAACCATTGGAACGTAGTGTTGCTAAAGTCACTGTTATCAGACGTTTTAAAAGTCCATAATCTCGTAATAAAGTGTCATTCAAGGCCGCGGCAGTTAACACAGCCGGATATGCGTTACTAACTTCAGTCGGACATTGATATTCATAATTATGAAAATCATTTATCATCTCAGCAATAATGGCATTTAGTTTAGAGGTCGTTGCTAAATGTCTTTTTTCATCATCTGTACCATTTGCAACATCGATGAAGCTACCTTTTGCCAGTAAAGATTCGGCGTATTTTTCTTTCATTGATGGTATCCAACAGATTTCAACATTGCGCATAAACGTGTGAATATTTAAGGCTGCAGCTGCGTAGCCAACAATGGCATTAGAGGCATCATGTGCTACAATACAAAACTGTGGATATAATGTGACAAAATGTCCAACAACATTATCGGCAATAAGTTCACGCAAATGATTGGGAAATAGCGTTTCGGGAATGACATCACTTTCACCGGATTTATCGTCAATTGAATTAGCGCTTAGCTCTAGAAAAGCTCGGGTGCATACTTGTCCCAATTCAGGTTCGTCAATTGGTGTGTAAGGACGTAATAAATGATAATCACTTGTTGGCAGTTCAGGCAATTTATATAAAAATAAATCGTTACCGGAATCCACAGGCATCAGGCGCTTTGTAAGAAGAAAATTTCTAGCAAATGTCATAATTACTTAATCAATTATAAATATATTATTTACTTGTAAGTCAGCAATGAGGCCACCACGAAATACCCATGGTTCTTGATCACCTGACATGAATGCTTCCTTCCAGCCCTTGCTAAACCCTGGAATTATATATTTATTGATACATACATAAAACGCCGCCCTTCTATCTCTACTTATACTTACATGTGTAGGTACCCTGCGTATATGTTTGAACATTAGGCGGAAAATGACCAAGACTTAGCCATTTTATAAAAGCATTCTGAAGTGTTAAAGCACCGGCTATGTCCCACACATAAGAGAACAAATCATGACATATTTCTTTATTAGCACAATTCGCAATTTTGCGTAACAATTCGTGTACAGAATTGCAGTGTCTGGAGAATCCCTCGGCGCGTTGCATCCACTCGGCTACTTCGGGATTTGGCGACACGGCACCATCTACATTAGCACACTTCCTAATAGTTTTGTCGTTTCCTAATAAAACGTTCGCATTCGCTTTCAGCCAATTGAATTCATTAAGTAACTTATAACCACGACTACCGTGCTCGAATGGTAGATAGAAGAGATCACATAGCAAATAAAGGTCTTCCACTGTAATGGAACCACTACTACCCGCTTCAGGAAAATTTCTAAAAAAAAAAGTAAGTTTATTGAAGTAAATAAATAATAGTACAATACGAGAAATTAAAAATTACTTCTCATCACAATCTTTCATATCGGCGTTTGAAAGTGGCGAACCTTCCGAGCTTTCGACTTGCATGCTATTCTGTATAAGAAAACATTAGACAAGTAATTATTTTAATATTTACACTCACGAAATTTAAATTTGCAGTTCTTTACATTCAGTTCATTCATAGAGCCGTTGCAAATATCGTCATCTTCCACACCCTCAGCCATCACTACATCTTCAGATATTATTTTGCGATCTTCTTTTCCCGAAGCTTGCGAAGCTAAACTACTACTGCATTCCATTGGTTCATTACCCCCGGTGCTTATGGCACTAAGGGGGCTTAAGGTATGTTCGTCTGCCATAGGCAGAGACCCTGTACTGTTTCCAATATCCCCCGGTGAAACGGTGGTATCTATTGATAAACCAGCATCCTTTCCATTATTGGCAACACCGCTTTCAATTTCTAATTCATCTGACATCTTTTTTTCATCATCTGATTTTGACACTTGTATCTCGGCTGGAGCTTTTTCAATACTCATTCCTTCTTCTTTGTTGATACATTCTTGATCTATAGCTGATGTTGTATTATTATCTTCATTTGTTTGTAATTCCGTATGCTCAGAATTATTTTCATTTGTAACCGATGTAGGCTTTGTTGTTGTTATAGCGAAATCGGATACTGGCGATTTCGAGCCTTCTCCATCTGCATCAATATTTCTTGGCATTATGTCTTCTACTGCCTTGGTATGCATTATTGGTACTGATACAATAGATATAGGAATTTTTTTGGGCAACTCAATATTTGATGCAACACATGTGGGTATTGGATTTACAATATCATCATTTGTAACTACTTTAGTTGGCGAAACCAAGGAATTCATTACAGGATTTGTAATGGGATTAATAACTGATGAATTGACGGTGCTACAAACATCAGCTAAAGCTTGAAGCTGTGTAGTATTCACTTCCGGAACTGTAACAGTTTTCGTACTTGTGGATGTCGTCGTTGTTGTTGTCAAGCTCATACAAGTATTAATAGAAGGTATAATAGGTATGATAGGCATAACCACTGTAATACAAATTTTTAAATAAAAAGAATCATGTGAAATTAAATAAATAAAATAATATGAACTCACTTGTAACTTGCGGTTGCGGTTTCGTTATAGGCCCCCACGCTTCTTTAGCCAAAAAGAATTCCGGCAGCCATTCAGCAATAGCGTTTCTGAAAGTTTATTTGAAAGACTCGAAGTTACTTTAATCTAATTAAGATGATTTTAAGCACTCACTTTAAAGCAATACGAGGGTGATACATATTTTTAGATAAGCAGTCGATTGGAATTTCCTCTTCATTAGTGCCATCCTCATTTTCAGTTTCGAGTTTAATATCCGCAGAAATGGTGCCTTAAGGTTTAATTGTTTATAGGAATAGGCCTGCTATGAAATGTTACTGATTACTTACTGTTTACTTTTGAATCGAGACTGCATTTCGACCAACTGGCTAAAGTGTTTATGGCTATAGTGTTGGCATGGAATTCACAATTTGGGTTAGTCATAACTCCGCGTAGATGAGGAATTAACTCTGGAGAACGACCCGAATATGGACCAAGAAAAACGCGTTTCTGATCATAGTCGTTAGCATGTAAATTATCCCAAATGACCGGGGGCCTCCGTAATATTTCGGTTATTTCTTGTATTGATTCTAAGCTAATAATTTTCGAGATTACTTTGTTGCCAGTCCACATAATATCGATATCGTGGTTAAGCTTCGAGCCTAAAGTGTTTAAATACTCGGAATCATGTACAGTAGGGATCGCACGAGTGCTACAGTACTGCGTAGGACAAAAGAGAAACTTGGGATTGCCTAAATGAGCAAATATTTCATTTGTAACAGATACCTAGTTCAAAAATAGGATACGATGTGGAATTATTAAAAATGGTATTTAACAATAAACAATAAATTTGAAAAGTCTTACTTGTGCATTAGCAAATGTTTGAAAAGCTTCTTTATCCAATTTAGACAGTTCTGAGTCAATATCATCAAAAAGCAGTGCAAATGCTTCACAACCAAATTGTGAAACTTGATCCAGCTTTCGTTTGAGTGTTTGGATTTCCTTCTGGCTACTATAAGACATATCCAAACCAGGTGAAAGAGCATAATAAAACATTACATCATGTTCTCTAGCCGCCGTTATTAAACCTGAAACCCATTTTTGCAAAGTAATACGCAGTACATATTAGAACCTATTTTTAGAAAAGGGTATTTTAGTATATTTATGCTTCATTAAAATACTTGTCAGATGGTCAGCTTCTTCCACGGTATACAACTCTCGCCAATAGGCGCGATGCTTATAGTCATCCTTAGGAGCGTACACATAAGAATCCATGCCCCATTTTTTCATCCTAAATAAATTTCATGATATACTAATCAATTTAACAATATTAAATTTAAAAATTGTAACACACTTTCTAAATAAATCCTTTCGTTGCTCCGTTGTCCACGGCCTGCCATAAAAACCTACATGAAGAAATAAAAAAATGAAGCCACGGGTTGTGAAAACAAAGTGTGAGTTTACCTTCAATTACACCACATATGAAATTTCGTCTCTCCTTGCGCTCCCGTTTCTCATTTGTTGTGGTCGCAGAACTGCTTTCACCTGATTGTTTTTCATCGCACATAGTTTCCTCAACTTCTAAATTAAGTGTTTCCTCCATTTGAAAATAGGTCTTCAATATATCTAGCTCAAATGACCGTTTATAATATTTATATTACTTATGGAAGGGCGCTGTTTCTAATTTATTAAAAAAAAAAAGTTCAAACAAACTGAACTTATTACAATTCTATGTACGATTGGAATACTGAAAGTATTTTAAAAGATATAACACTTCACTTGAATATATTAGTTGCCCCACTAACTTTTAGTGGTATTCGCAAATTTTCTGAGCAAACAATTGCAAAAAATGCTAACTATTGCAACAAAAGCCGCTGAAATCTCTAGTTCCGTCAACGAAATGTGAATTTTACAATCGACTTCATGTGCTGTCGCTAAAGACACAAACAGTGTTGGCAAAGCTTGAAATAGAGAAGTATATTACATTGGGTCTGGGTTTAAGCAGAGAACATATATTTAAGAGAAGGCGAAGTGTGCCGACTGCCATTTGTTCCACCTGCGGGGTTTCTAAGAGACTATTTAACGTCTATAAGATATTAGTAAGAGACTATATATATATAATTGGCGGCTTGTAACCGCTGAAGCGGTTTCTTGATGTTCTTCCAACAAATGGAGGGACCTACAGTTTATACTACGCGGCATACGAATGGCTGATGGTCTTCATATGAGAAGCTTTATATCATGTCAGAAATACACTCGGAGGGGTTTTTATTTATTTAAGTTAATTTTCTATAACTTTTGGATGTTGGTCGCACGGGAATTTGAACTCGAGCCTTCCGGAAGGCAGTACACAATGCTAACCACTCGGCTACCGCGGTAAGATAATAATTAATTAGTAAAGTAATTGTCTCCCAAATATCATTCTTCTGTAAATAATTTCTCAGTTTTTGAAAGTCACTGTTAACTAGCCGTGAAATGGTCTCTTACTAATATCGTATATAGGTGAAATAATCTTTTGGTAATTCCGTAGGTGGAACAAATGACAATCGCACGCCCCGTCCATCTCTTTAATATACGTTCTCTGTTAATGTAGAATCTATAAAAAGCGGTGTATACGCCAGTGAAGAAGAAAATTATTTATGCCGTCAACACTATAGCATTGATATAGCGGTGAACCAATTTTTAGACACACATAGCAATCGATTAATTTAGAATCACTGATAGTTGAGCATGCGGTAATGCCATCGCAATTGTGATTTGTTTTTATTTGCAATGAGTTTTCTGGTGACCTTTCTAAAATTCTGTATTACTCGTGAATACGTTTAATTAAATATATTCAGGTGGATACACCTGTGTTATAAATGCAGCCGTTTATAATAATACGTAACTATCGTGACGACGATGAACTTAAATGTCAGGAATTGGTGCGGGACTATATTATGTCCTTCGTTAAGAAGTCTTTCTATTGTTTTTGTTTTCGAGAGGTATGTTGGTATATCAAATTATTGTCCTTGAATGATAGTATATATGTAAGTACAAATAAAGTAGAAACGGCGAAACGCTGCAACACAACTAAACAGAAAGAACGGTGTCATTTTGCATGTTTTGTTTACCTTTGGGCCGTTCATTAATTCTGTGCCTATTTACAGATAACACTGCAATTCATTGTAATAACATGGGCTATATTATTTATATTCATCGGAGTGCCGTTGCAATTTTGTGCAATGACAATACCCGGCTGCATATTTTTCCTTTTCTCGGGCACGTACTTTTCATTTTACGCCAAAGCAGTAGAATTGATGAGAGTAAGTCGATAAGATAAATTATTTATTTACATATAACATATTAATTTTTATTAAGTAAACTACGAGGCCTTGTTGTTTGTATGAATTGAATATTTGTTATACAACAAAGAAAAAATGGTAGAAGTGACAGCTGTTTCGGAGATCACCACATCTCCTCATCAGACTTCTTATGGCAGGGATATAACCAACGGATCCTGACTCAAAAGGCGAGTGTTCTACCACTGCGCCAACATCAGCCATATAATTTGTTGTTGTATTATTCAATTCTTTATTAACCAACCACTATTAAGTGCGCTAATTTAGCCGCTATTTTCTTAACAGCTTGGTTAGTGTGTTGTATTGGAATCATCATAACATATTTTATTTGCAATAATTTCAGACAAAACCTTCACAATCTCTTGTAGCTGAGTGCTATGAACCATTTATATTTCGCCTAAAACCCAAGGAAGCCACATACCAAATTTTTCTCGATGATCCTCCCTACGAAAAATCTTATCTAAATAAATTTAGAAAAAAGGTGGGTATAGTTAATTTCAGTGAGTTGCGCAACCACTAATTACCATTAACACTTTCAGATTATTGCTACGATAAGTATTAAAAAACATAATTCTCTTTACAACGCTGCTTGGATATATCGATTTGCTATAGCGCCAGACTATCCGTTTTCCAAAATCGCAGAACCAATGTTCAATCTGGTATGCAAGAAATGCATTGCTAACGGTTGTAGTTCTTTGGAATGCACAATCTCCGAGTGGCAAGAAGAAGAACGAGATTTCTTTGACAATAAAGGGTACTGATCTTCGTCAAAATAGCACAGATGCATACTAATTGTTACCTCGTTTCAGGTTTGCTACCCGTCAGATTTATCACAAGCAAATTATAGGCAGTACTTTGACTGTTATGAAAACTCTTCTTACATATGATCTTCATCCGAACGCACAACAACAAACTAATCATACAAAATTGGACATAATGAAATAGCGTTAGAGCCAATCAAGTAAACTGCACTGAACATGAAACACAGAAGCCTTCCTAAACATTCCTCAAGCAAATAATACTCACAACAAAAACTCCATTATCGTATAGTTAAAACGCAAAACTATTTGTCCTTTTTATAAATAAATGCACGATACTTTAGTATAAATTAAGAAAGTGCAGTTTTAATTTAAAACAATTAAAAACTAAAAAGTATAATGACACTTTGAATACTAATTCATTAGACATGTCTCCATTTGAAACATTCCTCCTATTGCGGTTGGCGTTGTCTACACAAAACGACGGCAACATAACAACAATTGGTATCGAAAACTATTGAAAGAAGTAGTAACTGAGATATTAAGATAGATATAATAAAAAAAAATTTTACACAAGACTGCTGTTTTTTTTTTATATTTTTATAAATATTTTACAGAATGCGAATACTGTATTAAAAAACAAAAAAAAAAAACGAATATGTCTTATTTTTGTAATATTAAACAGCATTTCTCAACTAATCGAATGATCTTGGCTATCTCAGACTGGTCTTAATTCCCAGTTTCAAAAATTAGTAAACTTAAAATTACGTGGCCCTTTACACCGAGTAATACTTACCAACAAGTTTGAGTAAATAAATATACATATATTAATTCGATTTTTCACATTAAATAAATGTCAAGCATATATTTGTAAATACATATTTTTTATGCAATTATCAGATTTTTATCATGTAGTGTATCTTAATTGCATATTTTTATCTGTGGTTTTGTTTGTTTGTTTGTTTTTTGTTTTAGAAAGCAAATTAGTAATTTAGCATCATTTCTGCTTTTCGACCTATTTCGCCTTAATTTACAAGCGAATAAATACAAATGCATAAAAGGAAATGAAAATATATATGCATATAAATCTATAGAATGCTGCATACATGCAAAATAGTGTATGTGCGGCACGTGCATATACATACATACATATACAGCACATATGTACATAAGTATGCTTGTAGGTATGTAGTTGAAGCTTTCGCAATATGTTCTCTCTCAATATAATTTAAAAAATACAGGTTTATATAAATACAATATATAATTGCGAACAAAGTAGTAATATATGTGTACGTAGGCTACATAAAATAGAAAAAAGCTCAAATTTTATTTAAGTTTATTTTTACTATTTTTTGTCAAGTCGTAATGTAAAGCTCTAAAACTTGCTTGTTTGTCAATTTGATTTATTTACTATTTTTGTATTTTTTTTCTTCCTTTTTATCGGTCAATATTTGCATTCAGGCGAAATTCACTTAATCTTATTCACTATAAGAAGATAGTTAGTAATCGATTTTGGTAACGAGGGGCTGGCGGCGTTCTCTGGCGTGTTTCTTCTTGTTTGTAGTTTTTATATAATTTCCATAGTTGTGTCTCTTGTGAGTTTAGCAGACGAGAATAGCGTGAGCTATTGACGTTGACTCTTTAATTTTTTTTCTCTTTTGCTTTACTGCGAAAAGCAAGTGTGTACACAATGAGCTTATTTATTCGTTTTTTTTTTGCTTTTACTCGCGTTTGATTTCTTTTTAAGCTACGAACAATCGCAGGTGCATGTGTGGGTGAATATGGATTGAGACAGTCCTATTCATCTAGGCATTAATCCGTCGATGAAATGCTGCTTTATTATTTTAATTATTAGTACTTTTGCTTAGAATAGCTTAGCTCGGCGCTTCAGTTCATTTCGTCGCCATTGGGGTAGTCGATAGAACTCGGAACGAGAACATTGTAAAACATGATCGAATTCTACATCCGACAAATGACGCTAAGAGATTATAAGTTACAAAATAAGACAATTAATCAAAAGTCCAAATATTGTATTTAAATGCGAAAATCCAGTTACCTCTAAGTTGCAGCGATCAACATCTGTTGGCAGACGATAATTTGAGATGACTAATAAATGGTAAGGATAAATTTTAGCCGGTTCATGTACGAGCAAAGAGTGTGCCATATTGGGTAAACTGCGTCGTATCAAACCGGCTTGTGGATAATGATAGGACAATACACCAGAATATGTGCTAGAAGCGGGAAGTTCGCCACCCATCTTAAAAATTTGAATGGAAAGGAAAACACAGTGAAATCATATTTACAATTATTTCGCCGAAAAAAACTTACCAAAGCACGTCTATCACCATCAGTTATGGAATCAACTGAAGCTATTTGTGAAAATAAAAAGAAATATATACATATTTATAGATTAATAAATTTAAAGAAGAGTATGCAATCACTTCTTGCACGTTGGTACTCACCTTCCGATTTTCCGCAACTTAAATCTGTACTATGAGTTTTATCCACAAGACCTCCATATGAAAAGTCCTGATGATTGGTAAGAGTGAGAGTTAGGAATGTAAAATATATAACACTGTTTTGAAATTTCTTTTATATCGATAAATAAAAATTCGTATGTGCGGATGTCTAGCAAACTTGTGTGTAGTAAAAGAAAATAAAAAAGCTTAACTACAAAGTAGATGCAAATTTAGACCCAAAAACAATAATCCAACTTCATGCCGTGCCGATATGAATAAACAGATAAATTCATTTTATTAGATGAAAACAAAGAAAAACAAAAACTAAACCGTAAATAAATATGTAGAAAACACAAACAACAGAAAAAAATTAACATTAAAAAGATATGTATGATGTAAGCTAAATTGTCTTGTTTTCAATTTTGAAAATTTTGCGATATTTTAAATCTTTAATAAAAAACGAGATATGTACCAGTTTTCAACGAGAAATTTTCATAAAAAAAACTCATAAACAGGTTTATCACAAATAATTTGATACAAATGGAATGTTCTGCAAATCCTAGAAGCCTCGAAAACAAAATGCTGAGAAAAATTGACTTGCAAAAATTTTAAAATAAAAACCAAAATGAATTTAAATTAATTAACTAACAATATAATTTTTAAGAAAACTTTTTTAGTTATTTTATGCTTATAACGCAGAGATGAATGAAAAAGAAAAAAAACAAAACGCAGGCACTCTCTTTTATCAATTCTAAATAACCATTACTTTATCGTGTAGTTTTGTCTTAGTCAAATGAAAAAGTGTAGAAAAAACTAAAATAACGATTCTTCAAATAAAAAGCAAGAATTTATTAAAAAATAAATAAAAGGCAAACCACTATTTTTACTTAAGAGTAAAGTATATATACAAATTTGTATGAAAGTATAGCGGAAGAAAAGTAAATTGTGGAAAATGTAATTCAAACAAGTTCCATAAATGAAGCAACACACTGAAAGCGCTTACAGTAGCAACAGGGTGCACAGCAGTAGTGCCACCGGCCGGAGTGGATGCACTGAATGTATGTGAGCGTGGAGCTAAGCCGTATCCTGGTTTAGGGACATGCCGCAAAGCGCTCACCACTATTTTTTTTTTTGTAATAATTGCACGTATGTTTATATGTATGCATTTATGCATATATTTATATGAATTCAAATATTTCACATAAATATATGTGTGCGTGGGTGTGCATGTTCGTAAAGGTATATGTGTACGCAGTATATATGTATACGATCATGCAGGCGTGAGAAAAAGTTGTTGATCACAAGGCAATTGATGAATTTGTTGATGTTATATGCATGTGGTATGTATGTATGTAGCATGAAGCGCGTCCAAACAAATATTCAATGGTACAGGTGAAGCGTATGATTGGTGATATTTGACAATTAAAAGAAATTAATGATCGACGAGTATGAAGAGTTTACCATTTGATGAGGATGAATTACACGTTGTTGTCATTAATTATTACATTGTTATTGATAGTAGTCAACAGCATACAGTTACGAATGAACGTTTCGTTGTTGTTATTTGCAATTTATGGATCAACAATATATGTATTTGTATTTCATTGTTGTTTGTCGTTGTCCGGTGACATTCACGAGGTCGATCAAAAGCCAAAAAAAAGCAGCATTGAAAGAAAAAATACAATGGCAATTGAGAGGGAGAATCGGATGTGAGTAAAAATTAGGTCATAAATAAAGAATAATCCTTGAAATTTATATACATATATAAAGTATTCAATAGCATATGCTCCAGTTTCAAGGCATTGTTAAAAACATTACTAAGGGTCAGAGGACGCAAAACAACATTGAAGTAAAGGCATACAGGATGAATTGCTGGAGCTTTTTTTTATATTGTAGTCAATTAATACCCATAATATCCCTTTAGTTGTATTGGAAGTACTAAGGATTGACGAGTAACCCTATGAGCTGTGTAAACTTTTTATAGTAGTACAGTAATACGAAGTAAAATAAAAGTATATACATATGTATGTACATAAATTAAATCGTTAATTACAAGGTTAAAGAAGGTGAGCAGTGCTCCTGGGCAGTAACTTCTTAAATGTAGATTTTCTTCATGTGTTCACCTGTTTTACGATAGTATTTGCTACATATCCAATATACTTGATAGGTTATGTCCGGTTATTTATTGTTAAATACAACATTACAAATAGGTTAATCACAAATGAATGTTTTCAATATAAAACGTAGCAATAAAACCAATCACCAAACAATTTGTTCGAGCCATTCATAGCGTGACTTTTGTACCAATTGAAGCAGCATAACTTTTTTTCGATTTAATTACACTTACGGAGCTATAGCCATTGCGTATTGATGGCGGCAAAGTCGATGTTTTCAATCCGTATCCTGGTCTTGGTGGAGATCGGTAGGAATGTATCGCTATATTTTAAATGTTTAATTTAGATTTTTGCATATATAAGTGGGCCGAAATATAACCTCTAAAAATTTGTACCAGAGACAAGAATGAAACACTGACTTCGGCTATGCCGAATGTTATATACCTTTCATGTTTTCGAATTATTTTAATTTTGGGTGTAAAAATATTGAATACATACATTTGAATAATATAGGTTTAATATGGGATTATTTCTGCTGTTCTCTTCGGGTATTTACTTATATAATTCGGACTAAATTTATAATATCAGGTCGTGCCCATGAAAGGCATAAATGACGAATTAACTAAACTAGTTGCAGTTTGAAAATAATATACATAAGCTATCTGAAAGCGAATTGTCGAAGCTTATTTAAAAATAACTAATGGCACGCTACAAATTAATGTACGTTTCTTTTTCTTATTTTTTTGATTGAGAGGAGAAGATAATTCTCAGTAATGTCTAATCTTTTACATAAATGTCACGGAAAATGTTAGACCCACTGTAGTTGTGTGTGCACAATACAAATATGACGATTGCATATTTTTAGCCAATTCAACAAAGTTTTTATGGCACATCTAATTTAGAATATTAAAAAAATATTGTGATTAAGCTAGCTAAAAATATATTAATATATGAAAGGGACGCAAGTTCGAAGTTTAAACGTAGATTAAAGTTTTAAAATATTAACCTATTTTCCAAAATTAAATTTTTTTTATATAAAACTAATATTCATAGAATTGTATATGAATGCTTAAAAACCGTCCTCGACACTTACCGTTGTAGCTGGGCGCATTACCAAGCGATTTGCCTAACGATCCTCTGTAACTTGTAGACCGATCGAACATTTCCTCATCGTAGAAAGGCTTCTGATGATCTAAATTACGTGAAGGTGAAGCACCAATAGGCGATTCGTATCTATTTATAATTTATAATAATTAGAGAAATCAATTAGCAACTTAATTTTAAATGAGGTACAACATGTGCTAAAAACAATACCTTAACTTGAGAATGGGTTCTTTGGCTGCCGAGGGTGTACGTGATGCATTTCTCGGATCTAAATTTTGTTGCTTCCATTTTTTATATTTTGCATGCTCTTTTAAATCTTTAGCAATTGCCGAGCCAATGCCTGAATTTAGCTTTTCCAGCTCTTCAGCCTCACGTTGCAGACGACTGCAAAACAAACAAAACAAACGGTGATTTTCTTGATATCAATTGTTATTATATACCCTCTACTTCATTACTCACGTATCAACTTCGCCATTTTTGATATTATCAACTTCGTCGTCATCATCAGACGTAGCTACACCCCTGTAAGTGTCACTGTAGCGGCGTCTACGTTCCGGATCTGTATATGGATAAGGCGGTGCTGGGAAGTCATCCCTTTCGATTTTTGGTTTTTCACCTGGTGGTGGCTTTTTCGCTGCCGGGTAGTGCGACAACTCAATGGGCTCCTCGTTGTTCATCGCAGGACTTTTGGGCCGTGGCGTCTCTGAGCGTATAGCATCGACAAGCACTTTCATAGCGCTACGACTGCGCGAATGCGGCCGTGAAGGTGGCCGACTGCCAGCCATTGAACCGCCGCCGGTGCTAGTGGCATACGATGGCGGCCGATGAAAGTGTGGTGACAAAGGCATCTTGTCATAGGGGTCAATAGGTTTTCGTAAGTAATGTGGAGCATCTGTCAAGTAGCTATATGTGTAAATTCGTGAAATATCTTCTCCACCAGGTCGGCCATATTCACGTAAAATTAAACCGGGACTTACGGTACGATAGTGCTGTAAAATTTATAGAAGTTAGAGATAGGAAGCTGATAAAGGAAACATCAAAAATATGAACATTGAATTCTTTTACTTAATTAAATTTATCTGTTAATAATTACGCAATTAATATTATTAAATTGTTACTTTGAGTGTAAAATCGTTTGATTGGCTTGTGTGTTGTAAGTGTTATTTGTGCATATCGAAAGCGCAAACGTAATAAAACCAAAAGGAAATTAATTTAGATAAAAATTTAAGAAAAAAGATTCCAAAATGAAAATGTTTTACTTATATACAAACCAAATTAAAAACTAAATAAAAGTAAAGAAAAACAAACCTTGCGGCTAGAAGAATAAAGTGAACCATTAAAACTCGGCGTTCTGGAGCGCGTGTACTGAAAACAACAGAAAACCGATGCAAGCTCAAAATGTGAAAAAATAAAAATAATAAACAATAAAGAATGGGAATAAATCATAAATAAAGGAGGATGTTTCGGGGGATATATGCTCGTCCAAGGAAAATCTAGGAATGGAGAGTAGATGTAAGTACATGATGACATAACATCCAACAGCAGTTGCTAGCCACAATCATGCGTACGCCCAAAAATTTTCAGCGTGTATTCATCCAATATAGTGTACGTTTTGTCCATTCAAAACTGCTTTCCTGCATTTGACTAGGCGGGAAGGGATAATAGGTGTAACGTGCGGCTAAACAATCATGTACAGGTGCATATATGTATGTAGTGAAATATTATTTTGTGCTGCTCATCATGCTTCAAACTCATATACATATTTACCATTAAAGATTACAACTTATTTTTAAAAACTATAATTTATTTATTTACAATATATAGCAGAAAGAGTTGTTAGCCTACTGCAGTTGTTCAACACAATTCCGAACCATTCATACTTACCATTTCACTAAGCGCACTCGAGCTTATGCGATCGCATTCTGTGTCTGTAAAGGCACCATTACCCACCGCTGGTCCGCCACCATTTAAAATAATACCAGACTCAGAGGGTCCTGGCCCACAACGTGGATGCCAAATGGCACTCCCTTGCAGATACATCTCTTCGCCGTCACCGAATGGATCGCCGCATTTTGTGCAGCGCGCACAGGTTGGATGGAAGTGATGGTTATCACCCGCTTGCAGCACCTTTCCACTAATAAATCGATTACAGTAAGCACATTTTACACCAAACGACTTCTGATAGCATTTCTCACAGTACGGCACCCCATCTTTGCCCATGTACTCGCCATTTAATACGGCATTACATGCTTTACAACGAAAGCACCAAACATGCCATTGCCGATCTAGTGCAACTAATGCTTGACCTTCTTTCAACATCTCACCGCAACCGGCACAATCGTTAGGGTCATAATCCTCCTTGAGACGTGCCTTATCCGAAACAACACCACTAGTCATCTGCTGATGTGCCGTGGCACGGGTTGGACTTTCAGCTTTTGGAACTGGTGAAACCGTGCCTTCTTTGCGCGACACATCAACAGCATTCGGTTGTCGAATGGGCGATGAAGTTGCTACTGGAATACAATTTTCACATAACACCTCTTTGCCGGTATTCGTTACCTGTAAGTGGGGTATAAAAAGGGGGAAAAAATTAATTTGTTATAAAAAAAAAACTGATATTTAAAAGAAAACTCACCTTGCTCCCAGACTTGAATGGATTACTACATTTGGAGCACGTGAAACACTTTTGGTGATACGTCTTACCCATGGTCGAGACCACCTCGCCCTCGACATACTGCAGGCAAGCGGCACACTTTGTGCCATATAAACGTTGATAGTCGGGAATGCAATAGTATGCGCCGTCTTTGGTAAAGAATCCGCCGGTGGCTAGCGACTTTTTGCATTGACAGCATTGAAAGCAAGCTTTGTGGAAATGCTTATCGGCTACACGTAGCACCTCGCCTGAACACTTTTTATCGCATTTTGCACAGTAAATTTTTTGCTTTCCTAGAAAAAACAAATTAAACAAAAATTACATTATTACTGAGGTAAATACATATGTATGTATGTATGTTTGTATATATATAAAATAAGAAATTCGTTTGTTTAGTCGGTTTGAATGTATGTATATCAATGTACATATGTACATACATATATTCAATGTATGTATGTAATATTCGCTGTAAGCAATGTGAGTACTCTATGTATGCGTAATACATTATATCTATGTATATATCTACATACTCCACTCGAACAATAAGTAATCCAAAACTAGTCACAATGCAGGCAAAAAATATACTCTAAATAACATTGCGATTTTCTGGACCATACTCCACTCTTCATAACATTGGAGTATTTCATGGAGTACGAACTGGCAACTAGTATTGAAACTACTCCATGAAATACCTACAGTGAATTACATTATTCGAAAATGACTCGTTATCAGCGATTCAAAATGTTGGAACCCACCTTTCTTCTTTAAATCGAGCATTGTCCATGCCAATTTATTCACCTTTTTAAATAAGTTTTGATGCAGTCATCCTGATGCTCCTGCCCAGACTTTTATTTCCACATTTCTTTGCTTTATTGGCGATAACTCAGAGTCTAATTGTCTAATAACAATGAAGTCTCGTATTTATACTAATTACGAGTCACTGAACATGATCCTATATTGAGGGACGTACAGTTTTTATGAGAGCTTTTATTACATGTTAGAAATACACCTAGACGGTTTCACACTCTCTGAAGAAGGGCGAGCGCAATTAGAAACTTTAATTATCCATAATTTTGGCCTTTAGAATGACAGTATGCAATGCTAACCACCTGGATACTGTGGTTGTATAATCTTTGCTTTTCGGTCGAGCTTCTCCTCGAATTTGTGATTTAGCGTCTTGATGTTTTTCCAATAAATGGAAGGACCTACAGATTATACTAAGCCGCCACCGAACGACTGATGTGTTTTTATGACGAGGCTTTACTTCATGTCAGAAATACACTCTGAGGGGCGTCCGAAATTAGAAAAATTTACCTCAATATTTTATTTGAGTTAATTTCCTATAACTTTTGTTGGTTGGTCATACCAGAATTTGAACCCGGGTTTTAAGCAATGCTAATCAATCGGCTACCGCCGCCGCCATGTACATAAAAATGTAATATAATATTTTTTTCTAGAATACTAAGTTTAATATGTATATAACATTGCTGTACTGTAAATGATTGTAAGCCTAAATAAATGAAATTACTAATATTTTTCGTTCCTTAAAATAAAATTGGTTTTTTATAACGCAAGGTGAGGAGTTCAAGAATTTACCCGAGGGAGAGGACGCAAATTCCAGACTTCCAGCGACAGCCGGTTTTTATACCATAACGATCTGGCCAGGGACTGTCTTTCCTGCAACATCCACCAAAAAACCGTTGTGGGCATAATGTTGCGGCTAATAGCTATAACAACAACAATATCGTAGTAAGGAATTTCGTTGTTAAATTCGCCATTAAAATCAAAATTAAACATTATTTTCAATTTTATAATTTTGAATTTAACAATTTTTCGATTATTAAACAATAATTTTTCCTTTCTTTCTGAAATCATACGAAAGTATTGTACTTCGTTTAGCTCTGAACATATCTACACTGGCTCGTAGGCATATTGTGCGGTGGAGGTATGAAATTTCACAACATTCCTGATGTTTCACACTTACAAAACTCTCGGTACTCGCGGTAAAAATAAAAAAATCGCTCACGAGTATTTTTATATACACAATGTGGGTATAAAACAAATAGTGCGATTTACATTCTAGATAAGAAGCGTCTCATTCACTATCTTAAAAAAATGTCAATAAAACTATTTTTATTACTTTTTTTTAATTTAAACACAAACATAAATAATTCATTTCCATAAATACATACATCCATAAATGTATAATGTATGTATGTATGTACTACATACATTATTTCCTGCATAGATAAAATAAAATTTTGTATACACATAACTACTAAATTAACAGTATTACAATTATGAAGTGATGAGCTAAGCTTGTTTTTGTTATGTCTAACGGAAATTTCGGCAATTTAATTACCATCAGAAACAATTAACGTGAAAATATTGAGATTTATTTCGCTAGCCGCCGTTTTTGTGGTGGTATCTTCAAATACACTTTCACTGAGGAAGTGCAACATCGTTAAATTTTAATAGAAAATGGTGAGTTGCAAGTACAAAGTAACTTTTTTATTTTTGAAAGTAAGCCTAGTCTGCACAGTAACTACGAAGTGTATACATGCATATGTGCAGGGTTATTCATTTTGCAATTTTGAAAATAAACCAAAATAAAATGCATTTAAATTTTTTTCAGTATATTCTTTCTTAATTATAAAGTTTTAACCATCTTATCATATCTGAAACACTACATCATTTAAATGATCACTCCGCGAAGTTTTGCAAATCTTGATCCGTTTGAGGTAATTTTCGAGACATATTGAGCGGTGTCTCAGCCATGATTTGGCGAATGTTAATTTTAAAGTGCTCAAGAGTTAAGGGGTTTCATAGCTCTTGAAACTTCAAAAATATCATTTTTTTTTTTTGATAATTTTTTGTATAAAAGTACAAAATGTCAGGAATATTTTCCCCGAATTTCAAGTCGATCGAGACGAAACTGTAGAAATTACAGAGTTTTATAACCCGCCGACTTTTTCATGGCTTGACCGATGGCATTTTTCTTAAAACCATTTTATCGAAATCGGTATTCGAAATTTCTCAACGACTATTGTTGAAGCGATCGAGTTCAAATTTTCCACACTTCTTTTAAGCATGTTTTTTTAGTCCCTGAACGAAGGATTTATTTTATCTTTGATTTCAACTCCTTTTACAAGCTTTATTTCATGTAAAAAATAACATTTTTTGTAAAAAACGCTAAAAAATTTTTTAATTTTTTTAATTGTTTTTCCTCCTGGGACGAGGAAAATTCACCTACTTTAAGAAAAACAATGGATTTTTTATTTCAGATTCAAATTGAAAAAGTTATCATGACCACCGCGAAAGCACTTTCTTGTAGACGGTCTACTTCACGACACTGCCAACACACAAAATAAATTGTATACTTTATTTAGCCTATTTAAAAAAAAAACTAGAGAAAAAAAGCTTTTTTTTTGCCTTCAAGACTTATGTAATCCCTTAATGGTTTGTCCGCAGTAACACGTTCTTTCACGTCGCCCCAAAAGAAGGCCAACGTTGTCAAATCGCATGATCTCCGTGGACAATTGACATCGCCAAGACGGGGAATTACGCGACCAGGAAATTTCTCTCGCAATACAGCCATATTCGCTCTAAAGACCAAGTGGTGTTCTTCAATTGCAAATCAAAAAAATTGGTTATCATACGACCATAACCAATTGACCGTCACGCCATAGTCGCTTTCAAAGAAGTAAGGCACAATCACACCTCTGAAGTAATGACTTCTTTTCAATTAAATGAGGATTCCTCAGAGTGCCAAATGCGACAATTTTGCTTATTTACGTATTCCACGTGTGAAAAATGTGCTTGGTGCCTCGTCGAATGAAAATTTTTTTCCCCGAAAAATCCCCTTCCGTTGCTTGTTGTTTTTCAAGCACCCGCCCAACTGACGTACAAATTTACAGCGTTTCGAATTTACGAAGGTAAGTGTAAGTTGTAGTAGGATTTAACAGTGTTAAATCGTTGTGTGGTTGTTAAGCGATCCACTTTCATAAATATTTAGTACTACAGTTGAGTTTTTGAAACCACAAAGTGGATAACCCTATATATATATACACCTAGCATCATTTTTAACCTATTGAGTTTTATTACAATACTGTGCTTTGTGTTATTAATAAAAAAAAAGAGTAATAAAATATTTTTTGGTTTAATCTAAGAAAGCACAAGACATATACACATACTCGTATATGTACAATACATGAGCATATGTAAAATATAAATTTTTTTTCCGCTAAAATGAAATGCATATGAAATCAGTTAGTAAAAGCGCAGATATTTTTTTATACATCTGCATATACATATATATGTATTTACATATGAGTACGTCTTCCGCTTGTCATTTCCACATAACCAATGTGAAAAATGGAAATTCACAAAAGACAAAGAGAGGAATAATAGCATACCGGTTATAATTAAACGAAAAATGAATATAAAAAATATGAAAACATATACAAACAACAAATAATGAGTGTATAAAGTATATGAAAACAAATTGTCGGACAATATTTAATTAATTTCAAGTTCAAAGTATGAATAGAGAAAACGAAAAATGAAGTCTTTGAAAGTGGGCAATAATGAAAATAACAATAACAATAACAATGGCGTGACTTCCTGTCTGACCTCTTTGGCTTACTGTTGTAAGAGAAATATGTATGTACATACATATGTGAATTGTACATACATACATTATTACATATTAATTAAATAATTCATACCCAAACTTATCGACGTTGTTTAACGCCCGGAGTACCCGAGTACCCATTTACCGAAATTCTCAATTTTTTAATATTTTATTGAAAGAAAAAGTGTTTATGATTTTTTTATTTGATTGAAGACCGTATGACGGACGTATCCTCAATTCATGCGTAATTAATCAACAAAATTTCCTATTGGACGTATTGTCGGCCGCGAAGGGGCAAGTGTCACGCAAACCTCTGATCCATCGGTGGAAAAAGATAAAACATATTATTGTTTATAAATAAAAATGTGTAAAATATCTGTTGAAACAATAAAATCAATTTCCATCCCTGAACAAAATTAATTTTAAATGAATTTAGTATAGACTCTATCGTTGGAATGCTGCGAAGGTTCAAGTTCAAGTCAATTAAAATAAAAACATTATATTAAATACATGATTTGTTTGGTTTTGGGCTTATATCGGGATCCGAGTGCTCGAAAAAATATTTAATTTCTTGTCGTTTTTTTTTTTTAAATATATCATAGTGGGCACCGGAAACATAAGGGTTAAGGGGGGAACCTGGTTTAGAACGCTGAAAATTGC